CGCGCACACACAGGAGGGTCCATGATGACCTGCTGATCATTGAGCGGCAATCTCACAAAACACTCTGCCTGACTGGTAAACGATGCTCTGTATGCCAATCATCTTACTTTCTGTTGATGTGGGTCGTTACTTCTTCCACTGAACAGCATAAAACACTCCCACATAGATAAGTCAAACGCGAAATTGATTTCCAATGTCCTCAAGAGCAGGGAGTGTGCCTTCTTGTTTCTACAACAACGACCAAGAACCCCTCTTTTGAGGGTGCAGGAGTCAACTGAGCAAAGCGATCACTTCGGATGTTAAAGAGGCCAATCAAGGGAGCTAACCCAGTACACTCATCTTCAGATGTGGTAATGAAACAGCCATGGAATCTTTCATAATCATGGCATAATGGGATTTGCAAATTGGCACATGATTTTAATCATTTTATGCTGCACAATATTCCAAGTGTTGGGACAAAACATAGTGCTAGCACCATGTTAACACCAACACAACCCACTTCAGTATTTTCGAGGATGCATGCAGCAAAATTTATCGTCTTGCTATACGTTGCCTACACATGCATAAATCCGCCGTTTCTACCAAACACTTTACCTTCACATTGCCTGTCGTAACACAAGAAACAAGCGTCTGAATCATCTGCACCAACCACCTCGATGGCACTTCAGAAGTTTCAGGAGTTTCTGTTAACGGTTCATCTGCATCTCCGTGAAATACTGCAAAACGAGCAAGAATACCTAGAGCTCTGACTGCACTGGATCTGACCTGCATACAGCAAATTGTACATTCCAACAGTCGAACATCCGGGATAATCCAGATTGTAAGTCCTGCTATCACCAGCTCCTCCTCCTCCCAAACATGTGCTACCCAATTGACGAAGTCCCCGAATAGTGAAGGAAAGGTGGGGTTAGAACCTAGCCCTAGATCCTAGCTGTGGACTCTAGACTTAGATCCGGGTTCCCTTGATGTGCGAATTGCTTGTCTGGGGTAGTAGCTGCTCTTCCTGAATAGAGGGATGCGTTATCTGCCTTGTAGGGCTTGTGGGTAGGACATAGGTATGGGTAGCTAGTGTGAGGTAAAAAGCGAGAAGAAAATAGGGTATGAAAATAGGGTATGTAAAATATATATGAGTCGGTGAAACTCCGACGAAACAGTTTGTCACAGCCCCTCGTTTGTTGTCCTCTTCTCCCTCTCTGCCTACGGTTTACCGGGCAGTTCTATTTGACGATATATATATATTAGACATTATATATATATATATATATATATATATATCCTACCCCTTAAGC